TTGCAAAGAACAATTTTACCTCAGGATTGCAAAAAAACAAAAATAAAACCTACACAATTAATCCCCTCTAATCCATGACTCCGTAGAGTATCAGCCAGTCCCTCAGAGCATAAAGCTTACAGAATTAATCATTAGTTGAGTAGCTATTTGCTCCAATTTCAGCAGAGAAGATATGTCTGAATGTCAATTACCTTAAGCCAGTCTAACTTTTCAGACAGCAGCTCAAAGTTCTGGTAATGGATTGTGTGAGAGTGGCTATCAAGAATACTGGAAGAGACTGCTTCATCATGAACGCTTTCTGAAGGAGCAAAATGAAGGAAGCAGAGCAGAGAGCTCTGGACAACAAAAAATAACTCTCCTCCAAAGACTATTAAGCACTACTAGCGCTGCAGACAGGGAAACCACCATCACATGGCCTTTGGAGAAGTGTTCCTTACCAAGTTTTGTATCAGGCGTATTAAGGAGCTGTTCCAAGGATGGTACATAAGTGCTGGCAGAAGATACAGACTCTGTGTCAGTGGTTTCCATTCCTTCCCCTTCCTCTCTAGCTACAGTGTGCACATCAAGAAGAGGAAGGTCAGTGTTCCTTCTTTCTCGCAAGTTCTTTGTTGGTATATTGGGAGGAGGAGGACCTGCAAAACCAGGAATTCTGCTACAGTATAAAGTGGCTACTGGAATGGAATCGCACAAAAGCTGGCTAGACAGACAAGATGTTCCAAAACATTTTGGTGCAACAGGCAAAAAAACAAACTACAGCCCTCCCACATACCCCGGTGATAAACATATAATAATAAAACCAAACAATCAACAGCTTGATGCCATAAAAATCTGCCACATCTTCAACGTATAACGATAAGCCCTGCCAACAGCACATAATGGAGGAAGAGATCTCCTGTTTCAGTGACAGAGCTGACAATTCATTTTAAGACAAGAGAAGGTCTCAGAAGCGTGTGTTTGTTGAGGGGAAAGAGCTGACAATATCTGCCAGCTGGTTCCAGCTCAACATTATTTCTGCCCACTGTTAATGAAAGAAGCTTACTTTTTGAACTTGGCTCACTTTTAAGTTGAAAGAGCTGGGCTTCTACTTTGGACAGCTGCTGCTGCAATGTCTCCACGGTCTTCCTGTGCTCTTCCTGAAGATGCCTGACTTGGTCTCGGAAACTGTTCCGAAGAGCTTCGTTCTGGGCTGTCAGCTGACTGGTAGTCTGTGCGTGCTCCGACTTCATCACCATGTTCTCAGACTGTATTGTACAGAGCCTGTTAGAGCAGAGAAGCCCGTGAATTAGAAACCAGGCCCTACATAACCAGGGACC